AAGCTTTTAAAACTATTAATATTCCCAGTGCAGTTTGTCATTGTTAAATTGAGTTTGATTTTTGGAGCGCTTTCTGTCTCCTGTGTGTATTGTTACAGCACACTGAGGAAAAGCAGCAGTGTGCCTGTGTCTCAGAAGTGACAGGAAACTCATTGCGGTTGTGTGTTTGGTGTAATGAGGAAAAGTGCACCCTGGACTCAAACTGCTGTGGATTATTGACGTGTGGTAATAGTTTTAGAGGAACAACAATGAACCCAGACAAGCATGAGGTGTTACAGACAACTATCTAAATCCACCTTATTTATACTGTCATGTTTCAGATGGAATCACAACATTCTATAGCCCTATCATAGTTAAAGGTCCTATATTGTGCTAAATTGACTCTTCTCAACTTTCAGGCACGTTAGAGTGTTGTTACCTTCTCACAAACAGACCTGGAGTTGTGTTTTGTTTCAGTCACACGTTTGAGTAAGCCTTTATTATTAGTCTGTCTACACCTCCTAAGCTCAAAATGCTCTGTTCCAACTTGTGATGTAATGTAGTGTTTTTTCTTAAATTAAAAGCCCAATTCATTAGAGATGTAGACAGGCTGACACCACCTAGTGCCTCTGCTCAATTTAATTTCTCTCCAGCGACTAGATCAGGATTGGGAATACACTAGACGGTTTGCAAGAACCTTAGAAGTGCAAGTTTGGGCACCAGCCAATCAGCGAAGAGCCATACATTCTGTGTTGGAAATGGTTGCCAAGATCGAGGATTTAAAGTCAGAACAAAGAGAATGTTTGGTGAATTTTATCAAGGGTAAAGATATTATTGCCCTTCTTCCTATGAGATTTGGGAAAAATTTAAAATACCAATTAGCCTTATTAGTGGAGCATTACATCACGACACGTCATGACCAAATAGCAGCGACTTGTTAAATAATAAAAAGTACCTGCCTTCCATTGAGCAAACAAATCCTAATGTCCGAGGTCAGACGGTTTCTACGAAGTGAATCAGGCTATTAGAGATGAGCAATTCCAAGTAAAAACACAGTGAAGCAGATCCTGTATCATCACATGACATCACAAGGTGGAACAGTATTTTTTTGTCTGAGAGAAGAGCTCAGCCTAAATATTCAGGGTTTGTGTGTTAAACATGTGTGAATGGAACAAAAGACAACTTCAGGTATGTTTGTGATGAGGAAACAGCATTAGAACATAGATAAAAATAAATAAATAAATAAATAAATAAATAAAACATTATATTGGCCCTTTAATACAGATGTGAGTCAGCTGACATGAATGATAGAGATATTTCTTTTGTAATATAGTGGGTTCCTAACTGTATTCGCTAATAGGAATCATCAGGTTCAACATTTGTAAATTTACTTTTTGGATATTTCATGAAGTACAATGTAATCAGAAAGAGGAAAAAAAGGCATCATTACAGTGTAGGCTTTGTAAACCACCAACAGCACATTTTCTAAGCAGTTTGTGGTTCACATGGAAATTTGGATAACAGAATGATCTGTGTGTGACAAATTTGACTTTTCTTTAGGTCAGTTAAATTTAGTTTAAACATTTTCGTCATGTCCTAACAGTAGCGTGTTCAGCCACAGTACACAAGGATGGAGAATAAAGAAGAGTGCAATCAGAGGCTGAGAGAAGAGTGAGTCCTTGTGCTGTACCTGTGGAACAGCTCTGACAGTTCAGGGCTACACCTCTGACACACTGTGGGCGTTCGATTCATTCAGACGCACCTTGTCCTGCCCCCACCCCCTACACACATGCATACATACACACACATACAAAGATTGTTTACGATTCCTGTGTGTATTACTGTTTAAGAAAATTGGAGAACAAAGTGAGTAGAGAGAAGTGGGCGTATGCTGTTGGCGGTAAAAACAGGGATTGAGCGGCAATATGGTGTCTTGAAAATAAGAGATTAAAGATTACTCAAACATGCATCAATCACTCCAAATACAACTTCGGGTGAGTAAATGATGAGGCGAAAAAACTATGGTTAAAAGCTCAAGTAATAGGTCTGCTTTAAGTCACAATCAAGATTACAAAAGAGACATGTTAGTAGTTTTATTGAGCAGAGCACAGGCCTTTGTGAGATAAGAGAGCCTCTGATTGGCTGTGATCAGGGCTGCAACCTCTGCCATTACACCTCTTCTCCATTTGTCGTCCTTGTAGCGCATACTTTTGAACAGATATGAACGCAAAAGGTCCCCTGTTCCCTCAAAGAAGATATGAAGCTTTAGCAGCGCTTCACTCCTGTCTCTGATAAAGTTCTCAGAGGATAATATTAAAATATGTTTCTTATAATCTTTCCCACTGTCCTCGAATGTCTCACAGTGGCCCGGGGCTGTGGACTGACGCCTCTCAATCAAGGGCGTTTTAAACTAATCTGACTTTGGGATGTCCCTGTTCTTTTTATATTTTATGAACAACTGCACCTGGTCATGTCTGAATTCAAATCATCTTCATGTAGAAATGGTTTAATCTTCTTATCATGGCGTTTGATTTTTAAATTGACATGGTTTAAAATAGACGACCTTGGAGGTAGAGAAGCAATTTTCTTTGGCAAATAGTTCATCTACAGAGAGATTTAAAGTAGTATGAGGCAGCTCACTTTTACATTCTTTTACTGAATGTCCTTGACTGGAAACTAGGGGTGACAGAATGACCAAAAACGTATGGTTAAAAGATAATGTTTTCTCAAATTAATGTTACCTGAGAGGAAAGAAAAAGTACTGAGTGTGACAGCTAATGTAGTATATAAACATTGTTTAATTAGTGGTATTTGCAAACAGAAAAAAATATATTTAATGGTGCACTATGTAACTTTTGTGGGGGAAGGCCAGTCACCTGGTTGTCTCCAAGAAGATTTTCTTGCCTTGTTTTGCCTGTTTGCGTTCAACAGAATGGAATTAAGGGATTCCATTGGACCAGCAGGCTAAAGGGCATGTTACAGGTCAGATCTGTGGAGATCATGTGACTATGCTCACAGTATCAATGTATAAGCAGCACCAAAAGCAACCCTATAATTAAATACAACATCATCTGCATGTTTCCATGGCGATAAGTTAAGTTTAATACCATATTGTAGGCATCATGTCCCCACCCACTCTCACCCGCAAAATGACACAGTGCACCTTTAATAAATGTAAGAATGAAGGGCCAAGGTATTAGTTCAAATGACTTGCAGGTATCAGGTAATCATTACCTAGCTCTGCTATTTGACTTCATAAAACCGGCATTAAAACGTGTCAAATATGTGCTCATTTTAAGTGAGAGATCAGACATGACCTTTTGACGAGATAAATAGCAAGATATTAAAAAGTTGAGAGAAAGGTGGCTGTGACTTGAGCAGAGCAATGTGTTTGTCCTAATCTCCCAAGGGTGCTGCTCTTGTGTCGGGACATCCTGTGGCTCTGGGATGGGAGTGAGTGCTGAGAGGAGCACCTGCCAACAGGAACAGTGTCATGCCCTTGAGCCAGACACCAGCACACAGGCCAAGTAAAAAGTATACCAGTTTATCAGTCACATAAAGAGACTGTGGCAGATATTTTAATGTCATAAAGTAACCTTTGTTTTGCCCCAATACGTGTAAAAACAGCTCCTAGGGTCAAAAAGAGACCGCTGCGTGCTGTCTGCAATTTATTTTGGATAGCCCACTGAGATGGTAATATTGCTTTATAATTAGCATTACTTTTTCAAAGTGCTAATTATGAAGCACTTTTACCAGCCATGAAACATGAAGTAACGTTAGTGTGCTATTAGCATGCTAATTGTTGTTAGCCGTGGCATGACAGCAATTCTCTGCTCTGATCTGTAAAATTTGTGAAAGCACTCATCACTGAATAATTAGGATGCTTGGAATGTAAAGATCATTGCAAACAGTAAGGCCAGATACTGGAGCTGAAAAGGAAAAAAGCTTCCATTTAAAGATATCAATTTGAAAGTAGTAGTTACTTGCATGAATGTAAGAAAAAAAAAATGCTAAAAGCTTTTCATTGTGTAATTCATGCAAAAAATAAGGGATTTTATAATGAATTCTACATCAGTTATTCATTTGTTTATTCGGCAGTAGTTCACTAACATCCTGAGTGTCCAGTCCTTTGCTAGACTTTTGTTAAGATATTGGCCACTGCAGACTAGAAACAGACCAATTATACATCTAATTCTTCACATTTCTAACAAATTGGTGTCAAACTTGGCCACATCTGTACAAGAAGTGTTTGCACAGAACTTTTAAGGACAATTTTTGCCTAGTACATCAAACACACACTGTCTAATATCAGGATCTCAGGTTTTCAGAACCACGGACAGCGATAATCACCACTTCAGACAGTAACTCACCAGCTTCTCGTCTGTCCACTCAACCAATACCTGGGAGGAGTTTAATACATTTACCACTTGATAGTAACTACGCACCAGTTAGCCTTAATGAACCATGAACAAAGACTTAAACTGCATTGTGTAACTTTTCTGGTGGAGAGTCTACTACCTGGTTACCTCCATGGAGATGTTACTGTTCCATGGTATGACATTGAACTTATATATCTGCATATTTGGTTATTTATTTTGGGTGATTCTATTGCTCAGATTTTATTTATTTAATTTTATCATTAATTTCTTCTGTGAATAGGGGGACTCTCCACAGATCTGAACTGTAATGTAGCGTAGTTTTGTAACCTGCTTGTCTCCCTTTGTAGAGGGAGACAAGAAGATAGCGGACCCTCCACTAAAAAGTTGCACAATGCACCTTTTTCTTAAGAATGATTCAGGCTTATATCTATTTAATAAAAGGTGTTAGGGTTAGCAGTTTAGGTATTAAAAAGGCCATTCTTAATCATTCGGTCATTATGAATTTAGTCTTTGTTTGTGCTTTATAAAGTGTTAAGTGCAGTATAAAGTGTTACCATACGTATGTTTTTGTTTTAGTAGTTTTGTTTTTTTGTTATGGCTGCGTTAAAAAGTAATAAATTGAAAACTCAAAACAAGACAAGATAAAAGAGCCTTCTTTAATCACACTTTTTAACAGTATTTAGGAGGCCCAAAACACTTCAAATATGATCACACTGTTAAATAATTATTGAACGATCTTTAACAATAATTATAAAACTCCACAAAAATAAGAAACTCTTAACAAGATTAAACAAAAGTGACACAACTCTGAATATCTCAGTTCGGAGTGTTCAGAATTTCTGTCAGCAGATTTCTGTGATCTGTTGCTCATTAACTTGAAAATAGAAATGCTTTAAAACAACAGTGACAAAAGAAAAAAATCAGTTAAATGTACAATAAAATACTAGTGCAACTTCCGTAATGTATGCCCATGCATCTGCAATGACCCACTTTAAACTGTTCAAACAAGTTCTTTCCTCCAAACAAATGTACCACAGATGGTCAACAAACACAAATGAACAGTAAATACCAGTCTCTTGTTTGGCTGTCATTTTCTTTGATGATTCACACCCCCGGCCTCTAGCTGCTGCTGCTTCTCTCCGATAGAAGAAACTGGACCAGAGTCACATGAGCAGCTCTGATTCAGCCCTGTTTCACTGAGGGGGTCAAGTTGAGGCGGACATTTTGTGGATGTTTCTGATGAGTCTGCGGCTGTACTCCTTGTGGTCCACCGGGAGGATTTCCAACACAGTTACCTTCACCCGGGTCTCATCCTACAAACAAAAAGTACACATGTAACCAAGCGGAAACAATAGCTGGCACTCACAGAACAAAGCTGCAGTGTTCTCTATTACAGTAGTACAAACATGACGCACAAAACTGGACTTGAATAAAGAGTGAATAAAGCAGGTTACCTCTATACCCCTTTTCGTGTGCATCATTTGTCACCTGTTTGTCTCCCTGGAGATGTTATCGCTTTGCCTTGAAATGAAATGCCTCGTCAACTACAGTCATGTCCTGCTGATTGATTGGTTGCCGAAAAAGAGGCATGGCAAAATCTCTAGAAACTATTATGTATCTCTATGATGTGAACTACACTCACAATCAAAACCAAAGGAAGTACAAGAAAAGTATTAGGAAACAATGTAGTTTTATAAAGACGCGGCTTAGAAGATGCTTTCCTGTGGTGTGGCTCCAACTGAGCACTGCTGTGATGTCCAGGGGTCCAGGGCACAGATGACACAGAGGAAGGGCGCTTTTGTCTGGAGGACTATTCCTCTCCTCAAACTACTCTGATACATGATCTGCTGACCCTGCCTGACCAGTTGACCAGTCATCCTCAGTGTCTCAGTCAAAGGTCTCTGGCACTGAGACCTTTGACTGAGACACAAAGGCGATTGAGAAGTGCACAGTAATTGTTTCTGCTGCAAAACTTGAATTTCCCAAGGATCAATAATGTATCTCTAAAACATAGATTTAATCTGCCGTGTTATGTACAAAAATGTATAACTACCATATTTTTTGGACTATAAATCACACTTTTTTTCATGGTTTGGGTGGTACTGCGACTTATACTCCGATGTAACTTATATTATTATATTAAAATGTACTATATTAAAATTTTCAGACTGACAGCCGAGAGAGGGCACTCTAGGCTCGTATGTCAGTATCTAGTACTACTATTACTCCTGTACCATTGTCGCACTGTACTGCGCATGTCTCCTGTAGAAATAGCCGCTGTCTTGCTAAAAATAGTGAAATATTCAGCTGAAAATGGTAATCGAGCAGCAGAAAGAAAGTTTGGAATGAGCGAGAAACTTGTGATTGACTGGCAAAAAGCGGGATTGGAGAACACAGCTTCACGGCAACCGGGCGAGTGCATCATGTAACTTTCCTGGAAGTCACTGGATGAATTGACAAAGCCTGAACTTCAATGACAATTGAAACCATCCTGTCGGGATTCAGAAAGGCTGCAATAATTCTAACTGGAACTGATGCTGAATCTGATGACAGCTACGCAGAAGAGGAAGCAGCGCTCTGTTTACATCATGGATCTATGGTTTATCTCTGGAGGTTGTGTAGAAGCGACACCAAGGAAGAATTCAATGGATTTAGTGATTTGGAGTGAGACTGTGAGTTTGGTAAACTTATGTTATGTTGTTTATGCTATAATTATCTGAATAACTGTTAATATATTATGTTAAAATTAAATTAAATTATATTAAATTAAATTATATTATATTATATTGCATTATATTAACACCTATTCAGCCTGTTGTTCTCAATTCTGTTGTTATTAGTATAACTTGACTTTCAAGATGAAATGTCGGTTCCTGGTCTCTGATTTTACAAAATACATTTCCCCAAAAAGTGCGACTTATATATGTTTTTTTCTTTTTCATTGCGCATTTTTGGCTGGTGCAACATATATTCTGGACCGACTTATTTTCATTCTAGAAAAAGCAACAACATTTCAAGAAGATGGAGGACCCTCCACTAAAAAAGTTGCACAATGTACTTTTTTCTTAAGAATGATTCAGTCTTATTTTCAGGTAACTTACTCACTTCTCCTTCCTGCTGTCCTAAATAAATCCTTAGAAATCTAAATAAAATGATTAGTCAACTAAAACAAAGTTTGGTTGAATAAGACACCATCAGCTGATAATCGACAACAATAAATGATTACAGCCCTAGATATTAGTGCATTAAACTTACACTCTTGCATTTATTAAACTACAGATTTAATAAAGAAACTTAACCTAATCTAATCCATGCATACTTGGATTCCCACTCTTGGCTCTTCTGTGTTAGACTGCATGACACTGCCTTTTCACTGATGAAGAAGTAAGAATTAATTTCTATCACATTCATAATGCAGACTTAATCAATTAGTATTTCAAACAGCTACCAACACCTCCCCTTTCCTCATCATCTCATATGTGACCAGGCATCATTAGTATTTTCAATTTGGGATGTACCTCAGGATAGCAGGCAAATGAAACTTTATATGTGGTTGTCAGGGCGTGGGCAGCACTTGACAAAAGGTGACAACTTATTCCCAAGAACAATGAGCTGTGAGAGGGAAGCCTGATTCATTTATGTGCTCAGATAGTTCCAATCATGTTTAGTTAAAAAGGTGTCCCAAAATTCACCTCTATTCATGGAAAGCAATTAAGGCTGACAGAGCTGGAGACTAGAATTTTCCACCAAACTTCCTGATACCATTGAGTGACAAAGACATGCACAGCGCACCTGGAAAGAGGCTCTGGCTCACAACAAGTAAATGAGTTGATTACGTATTCATCATGCGCAGTAGATAAAAGATGGGGAGTCCTGCTGAGGAGACCAAGAGAAGCAGAAGAAATGCTAAGGCACCTGCTGGTTTGGTGCAACTGAACGCTGGGTGATAGAGAGGGGAGGAAAGTTAGTTTAGATCAATAGAAAATAAAAGGGTCAGGCAGGTAAGGAAAAAAATAAGTTTTTATTTAAAGATGCATTGCACAACTTTTCTTTTGGAAGGGTCAGTCATCTGCTTGTCCTCACGGAGATGCTATTGCTTTGTCTAGAATGTTCCACGGTAGAGGTTACCTAATTTGCCGCACTATAGGGTGCTCTGGATTATGAGGCGCACTGTCATAGAATGGTCTATTTTCGAACTTTTTTCACAAATAAACCACACCGGACTTTAAACGAAAAACTGTTATATGGGTCAGTCAGACTTTGTTTGGCGCATTCATGGTGACTCTGGATGTGTAGGGAGGTGCTGTCTGGGACCGCTGGATTGTTGGCTTGTTCACAGTGACTCAGCTGTTCAGTTATGTCTAGAAGTGGCACATTGCACTCACTTTTTCGGTTCGTTCCTCCGTTCTATTCCTCATCTGTGTGGTGTGATGAGTGTGGCTGCAGGTGTTTTTCGCTGCGCAGTCGCTGTCTGCTCCGTGCGTGTTTGCGTGAGCTGCAGGTGGTGCGGCTTTGTAGTTTACTGAAATTGTGCTGGGACATCTGAGTGGATTCGTGTAGAGGGCGCTCTGGATTGTGAGGCACGCGGTCGTTTTTTGAAGGGGTTGGAGGCTTAAGAGCATGCCCTATAGTGCGGAAAATATGGTAAACCCATCTATTTCAAGGGCGACAACTGTTGGGTATATTAAAGGTCAGATCTGTGGAGAGGCAACCCTCTACAGAAGTGTATTTTAGAGGAATAGAAAAACCTGTAATGACAAGCAGGGGATGGACCCTCCGACAGAAAAGTTGCACAATGCTTGGGAGATGTTAGCTTGCAAGGCCCAGACCTCTTCCCAATGGCTGAATCTCGTATCGAAGAGTTTCAGAATGATAGCACCGTTGCTGTAGCAATTAACAAAAAATAGTATACAGTATGTCCTAAAAATAGCACCATATAACAGGAAAGAAAGTTAACCAATGCTTAATGCTTTGTCGATTGGCAAGAATGTAATTGTAATACTCCTTTAATGTACTCTTAAGAATATCTTCAAACTTTAGAGAGGCATATGTAATTGATTGGAAAAGAAAGTAATTTAGGATTAATCAAACAAAAAGTACAAAAGTTTGTACAAAGATTGGTTGAGAGTGCAAATGTTACAGCTAAAAACATTAAGTCTATTATCAGCTGGGCCACAGAACATTAAAGGCTTTGCAGTCCCAAGACCTGATAAATGAATTGGGCTGCATCAGGAAGGGCATCCAGAGTAAAACACTAAATCACTGCAGATAGAAGTCATCAATGTTAAATAGTTGTCTTTTTTCTTTGCTGACCCCTTGTGATGCTAATGGTGCATTTTCTGAAACATTTCACTGCAAAGGGGTAAAACAGTAGTAGGGGAATTTAGATTTTTCCACATTAAAAATATGGAAGCCTGGCGACTACTTTCAAAAGTTCAGGTGAGGTTGCCATATAAACTGCTCGATGAACCTTCAAAACCTTCTATCCCTGGCCTTAAACCACTGAAACTCAATCCTGTCTTTAATTTATTTGAAAATATCACGGATAAAAAACTATTTCTGTGAACAAACAAAAGGTTTTTCAGAAATTGTGCTTTTGTTGTTGAAGCTGTAACACGGCTCATCCACTCTTAAGTGCTCAACTCAAGAGAATCTTCTTTACAGAAAGAACAGGATAAAACTACTTGATGTAACAAGGTGTCTGAGAACTGTGGCTATTGTGTAATGGGAGCAGCGTCCGCACAAATGTATATGAAAGCTGTTCAGAAGGACTATTCCAGTGTGACAAGGAATAACCTATGAAGATGAAAACTATTCAAAAGGCAGCATTATGCTAAGCTTTATATCATGTTATATATGATATGATGTGTGTGCAAGAGTGAAAGAAACCCCAGTGTACTACTACTGCTGCACTAGCATGTCTTTAGTAGAAATCACTTCATAATAACTACACTTTAAATGGCCTTAATAAAGCATGAAGAAAAAACAACTAACAGAAAAATCATAATAAACAGAGTTTATTAAGAATGGTTCATGCTTAGTGAGTACCTAGTAACTATTAATATCTTAACTCCAAACCATAACCCCTTAATAAAGTAGTTAATATTGCTGATTAAGGTGTCGTTATTATAAAGTGGGACCAAATCACACCCCAACTTTTAATTAACACATGATTATGTTAGAAACAAACGCAAATGAGTGGATTATATAAGATTTCACTCATCTGTGTCTAGTTTAGGTCCATGTGAAAGACTCAGACAAGTGCACCAAGCACAATGGTGATGCAGCCCGTCCTGAAGTAACCCTGACTCAGTTCATCTCGAATACACCGAACAAAAGAGAGTAGTTCTACGTGTGTTTTAATCTCTTTAACACCAGCTACAGATAAATGTGTAAAACTGGCATGTAATAACACAGTTTTAAAGGTTGGTTTCATTGTGTTCACACTGAGTACTGGTCAATAACTTCTCATGAAATAATATATTTGGCAGTATAAAGATTTTATGTTTTTATAATTAAATGTTGCTTTAAATGATGTATGATATATTCTTCTACTCCCACAACAAACCAGTTAACGACACTATGTAACTTTCTCTGCTAGTGTGTCATTTTAAACTTGTGTAATGATGTGTCTTAGGCCACATTAAAACTGTTGCTGAACTTAATAAAATAGCCATACACATGTGACAATCACATTTCATCACCAAAGGAACCAGTGAACTGAATGTGCTACATGACTTAAATACCATAGTGTGGAACATTATCAGAAATGCATCTCCATGGAGACAAGCAGGTAGCAAACCCTCCACTAGAACAGCTACATATTGCAGCCTTAAAGTACCACAGATGCTTAAAAGTGAATTCAAGGCCACAATAACTACACATACCCACGGCCCACATTTGTACCAGAACATAAAAGACGACCAAGGAAAATATCATGTTTAGTACAGCCCTTCAGCTTTCAGAAATGACTAAGAGCAGTGGCCTGTAATGCACATGGCTTTTACATTTAAAAGCTGCTGCCGTTGTTTTTATTAATAAGGCATAAAGTGTATTGTTTATGCAGAAATGTTCTAACTGCGTGGCTGCTTCCCATCTTTATGAAAAATGACTAATGCCCAACTGTTGTTACTTCATTAATCTTGTTAAGCAAGCACTGACATTTCACTATATTGCCCTATTTCCACACAGACGCTGTGCTAAATGTGTGATGTTTTTCCTCACTTTTTGTTCAAAGCTGTAAAAACAAAAAAACACGGCAGCTCTGGAAACACAGAATCTCAGATGTTCACAACACCACCTTCTTCAATCACATACTTTGAAAGGAAAACTTTGACTAACAATCACTGCATATACATTTGCTAAACAGATGAAACTTTTGAGGGAACTTCAAGTCATAATAGGCCATATGCCACTCCATTAATAGTATCTGAGACATCTTATAGTTCTGTCTTGGTTCATAACAGAAATATTGGTATACAAGGACAATAGAAAGTACAAAATTATGCACTTATGGCAAAGCATTGAGATGTAAATGAGAGAAGACAAGCCAAACAAACAAGATAAAGTTCCCATTGCATAAACATTTTCATCTAAATTGGTACAAACTGTGAAAATGTCTCACACATCATTAAGCACTTGCCTTGGCCGCCTCTTTATCCCGCTCACAACCTGTTCCATTCATTTGCCAAAATAGTAGTTTATTTTAAATCTTCCTAAAATAAGTTGTTTTCACATCCGTACTGTTACTAATTTAGCATTTGGAAAACTGAGCAGTAACTAAACTCTCAATGATAAATATGTATGTATATATTAATAAGGACTCAAATTGATTAATACATTCAGCAGTTTAACTTAAAATGAAACCTTACTGAATCTATCTGAATAAAAAATAATCACACAAGTTAGTATAAAATAATGGTCAACCTAATGATTCTGATGATTGATTGTTCTCACCATAAACTTTATTTTCATTGATTGCAGTGTAGTGAATGTTCTGTACAAAGATGGTGCCTCCATATATATATATATATGTATATTTTAATACATGCATCACAAATTTCGGAGTTCTGGTCATTGCGCAATGCATACTGGGATGGATTTTCAAAAAAAGTGAACATCAAACCGCCATGTTTGTTTTCCCGGTGGGAAAACAACAAAGCCAGTCTTTTTAGTCTTTTGAACCATATCCTTTTCTTTCTGGTTCTGATATTGTCATATTTTAGTTATGGGATTCGGACATTGTGTGGTTCTTGGATGTCCTAACAGCGGAAAACGGCTCGAGAAACAGGCTTCAGGCTTTGCGAACTCCATATATTCAAAAGGGAATCAGGTCTGTGTGACTGCAAACCTCTGTTCAAACAGTTTCCCTTCCCAACAGAATTGAAAAATAGTGAAAGGCGAAGGCGATAGGCAGTATTGATAGACAGGAAAGATGAAAAAGGTAACCTTTCACTGCCTAAATCATCCCGAGTTTGCAGTGAACATTTTGGCTTTGTCAATAGACGCATCCCACTGGGAAAACAAACATGGCGGTTTGATGCTCACTTTTTCGGAAGTCCGAAATTCATGATGCATGTATTGATCAGGATATTATTATAAAATTCTAAATAATAATTTGAGTATAATTGTCATCTGTTGTATTGGTGTATACTATTTTCTAGGGATGTAACGATATCCAAATCTCACAGTATGATATTATCACGATATGCATCTCACGGTAAGATATATATTGCAATATTTTAGAGAGACTAATATAATTGTAGATTGGGCACTTTTTTGTTTTTAAAACACCATGAGAAGATTTTGGTGTGAATTATTACTGTCATAATCCCAAGAATTCTGGTAAAAAACATATCTCTTTATGTTGTGATGATTATGGGATATGTAGTTTCCAATGTTCATAAGCTGTTGTTACTATAAAACCATGCATTTAAGAAAAGGAACGAAATATTGTGAGACTTTTGAAGATATATCACAATATTTTGGTTACTGTTACATCCCTATTCTTTTCCTGTAGAAAGAGTAAGTGTTTGGGGTTAGGGGAGTTTGAGCAGCCAGTCCTCTCTGTATACATTGAGAGTGGCTCATTTGGACCAAAGCGATACCAATGTGCAGTGGAGTGAGAGAGGTTCTGCTGAGGCTTTTATCCAGGACACGATGTGAGCTCATCCTACAGCTCAATCACGGCACCCTCAGCCTTGGTATGTGTCCCGAGTAACAAATTAGCCGCTAAATAATTAAGCTAATTAGGCTTAGACAGACAATAGCTAAATGCTAATTATCGGCTAATTAAGAGAAATGAATCCACAGCTGTATTTGTTTTCTATCCAAAGTGCACTGGCTACATCAGAGCTCCCTCGTCACTATAAGGCTAATTGAAGCGATTCTAGATCCGTGTTGTGTGACTGCAGCGCATGGGGACCTTCTAGTGTTTTGTGAGCCTGCAGTACAGCAGAGCTAATAACGTTAGGCATGCTCCTTACAAATGCATGGCTCCCTTACAACAGTCTTCATAATTAAAAGACAATGCATAATCATTTACATCAGGGAACACATTCATTTATTTATCTCCAACCTGGAAAGGCTGAAGGCTTCACTGTGAATACAACTATAATCAGATCCACAATTAGTGACATGAAGGTTTAAAGATTTTTACTCTACCGGTGTTAACAAACGGTTTTAACACCAAGTAGAGTTACTATATTCACTTACCGTTCAATATATGAAAGATGGAACAACATATTTTAGGGCTCAATATTTATCGTGTGCATAATTTTTTTGTAAAATTGGGGAGATTTGGGATATTTTTTGTTGTAATTTGAGCTGTAGTGGGTTTAACTTGAACTATGCTTAATAATTAATTCTTTCAGCTATTTATTTGTTGCAGCTCAGGCCTTTTGAATGATGCCGTCTATTTAAAAAGGTTCACTGGGATTATCTTGCATTATTGTTATTGTGTTAGTGGTGTAAAGTATTTTCAGTATTAACGTTTATCACAGTGTATCTCTGTATCAATATATCATGCTTCAAAATTTTTTATAGTGTCAGGCCTAGGTAAAAGTAAAAGACTATAATCAGATCCACATAATTAATGAAATGGTTGCTTTACCTGCTGTTAAAAATTGCTTTAAAGTGGTTTATCTACCATATACAAATAGTTTCAACTCTTGCCAATTTCTGGTATTATCTCTTAATTAAATGTGTACTGCACTATGGCCAAGGGACGTGTAATATCGTGTTCTATGCTGGCCTCAAAATCATGAGTTTGAAACCCAGCTCTGGCAGGTTGTAAAATGTCCCCCATGCTCTTCAAACACCTCTCACACTATACTGTCCTATCAATAAAGCTCAGAGGCCAAAAAATAATTATTAAGGATAAAAATATGTTTTCTTTACAACATTTAGTCTCGAGTTAGAAAACAGTCTGATTATGATGTGCTATGGGCAACAGGTGGGTGGAGCATTTGGTAGAGTACAACAGAGCCGCTAGTTAGTCTCACAAATATTTAATCATACCTTTTTAACTTAAACTTCACAAAATCCCAACTTTGCACTGACCTACACACTGATTGGAATTTTAGACTATGCCGGATGCTGCAATATTTGTTTATTATCTACTGCAGCAAAGCCCCTGAACTTCTAATGAACCACTATTGACGACTCTTTTGTCACTAAAGCAGTCTCTCTTCCCCAAACAGCCCAATATGAAAAACACAACCCCTCTGTGCCTCTTTACCTTTTACTCCCTGCAACACCGCGAGGCATCCGCAGTAAATGAGAATATTTGGGCTTTTTACGACAATGGCTGCTTGTTTGTCTGGTTATTCTGAAAGCCATTCAAACCCAACTATTATTAGTGTATGGGGGAAATTATCATAGTGTTTTCATTCAGAGCTGTCACAATCGCTGTCTTTTTGCGACAGGCACAAACCAATCAGACTGTTATGGCTAGCACACATTTTGTATAGCCAGGGGACAATGTTCCCACAGTAAGCTATTATTTAGACACTCTTGCTTTCAGGAATCTAAACAGCTGCAGTGTATTTTTAAAAGTACTCACGTTGTACGTTTCCAGCTTTACTCTGTTTTTAAAGATGTGCGTTGTGAAGGTAGCTCTCTGGAACACTTGGTTAAATGCTTCCTCGTCCTGGGGGGAGACAAAGTAGAACAAGAGCGAGGTAAATGCAAAGTCATGGCCTGCGGTTTACAGGCAGCAGTCTGCTACACTCAGACCTGTTGTTGCCGACAGAGACGCTATTTCCCTGTTGCATTGGAACTTGAACACTCTCTATGTGAGATGTTATCCAAGGCTATAGATTGAAAGAGTATGTAAACTTCCTCTTAGAGCTCTAGTAGTGCCAATAGGGATTTGTCTGTATGATTTTCATTTAAATGATTTAATGATTTTCATTCAGGTCCGCCACCTGCTCTTCTCCATGGTGATGTTAAAGATTTCTATGAAATGTTCCACAGTGTCACAGTTATCTAATCAAAAGAGACAATAAATGATGTCTCCAAGTTACAAGATCTGTGGAAAGACAAAGTTTGTTCGAATAAATGAAAGCCAGTTTTAAAGCCCCCAGAAAACTGGAGAACATTGAACACTGTACAGAAATTAAGCAACTTTATGTTATATTTAAGCGGCAAAACTTTTCTCAAATCCGCTACAAGCCACCACAAAGAAAGAGCTGTTTAGGAGCATTTAGAGACCAAAGTGGAAGGGGCTGAACAAGGTTAATAGTACAAAAAGGCTACAAAAGTGGCTCTTATAAAGCCCTAGGTTTTCTGACATTGTGTCATATTTGTTGTGTTTTGTACTTAGACTCACTGTGTCTCTGAGCCGACCCAGACGCTGTGCACTGTGCCCCAGCAGCGCCTCAGCTGTCTCCTGGAAACACGTCACCCACTGGTTGTCCCCGTAGTCGGACAAGTTCGCCTAAGAGGGACACACCACAAGAAGAGGCTTAATGATGATGTTTAATGAAGGATGCCTGCTTACATGAGTTACATTAATCCAGGGCCAAATCACAGGCACCAGTAGAGACTAATCACAGCCATCATTTTAAACAGGGCATGTTTATACATTGGTTAAACACACATTTTTTTTTTTTTTCTAGAGGTCTTGCATAAGTTGGTAGTGCCTATTGATAATACTGCCAAACTGAGCATATTGGCAATCTTGCAATAGTAAATAATATTTAGTTTTGTACTCTAAACAGTTAAGGCATAAATGCTCTATCCACACAACAAAAAACCTTATCATGAACAAATGTAAGTTCTACTATTAAAACTACAAAGTGGACTTAGTAAGTTTAGCTCTGCCATAACATGAACATATGACAAACGTCAATACAAAAACAGAGATATATTTTATTGACCATAGGTTGGAAGAAAAAAAAACTGTTTTTGTCAGTTAGTCTTGAGACCTAGGCTACAGAATAGGGCTCTAGGAATTTACATAATGTTTTTCTGCACTCTTCATCCCTATTTCACACTGAAATCTGTTGTGTACAATTAAGCTTAAAGGTGAACTATGTAACTTTTCGGTTAAGGCTCCATTACTTTCTTGTTTCTATGGATATGTCATTGCTCTGCTTGGAATCCTCCACAAAATGACAATAAACAGATCTACTGTGCATTTATTCAATTACAGGTGGTTTTACTGCTCAAAAAATACCTACAAAAACAGGAATTATGACTGTGAGCCGGGGATGCCTCTCAACAGATCTGACTTGTAACTTAGTCTAGCTTGGTCTGCATGAAGACAGAAAGGTTAGCATACTGTGAAACATTCCAGATAAAGCAATAACATTTCCATGGAGAAAAGCATTTGGAGGCCCCTCCTCTGGCAAAGTTACACAATGCACCTTTAAGTGTTCAGAAAACAAAAACAAAGACGCAGAGCTCATTTGTTATAGTGGTGTTTCCTTACCGAAAGCAGCAATCTGTACTGAAAGTTGGGGTAGTCGCGGTCACATTTCTCACAGCGGTACAGGCCGTTGTGTTGATCCAGGACCTTTTTGTTGCAGTTTGAGGAGGGACAGGCCCGGTACAGGCAGTTCTCCTTTCGGATGTACACCACTGTAGCCACGCAGCTGAAGTAATCCGCCTGGAAGAGACATCAAAAAGAAACAGCAGTCAAAACATGAGCCTTCTCCATAGAAATCTCCCTCTTCACAGCCAGAACATGTGTCTCTGCTCTTAAACTGTTTAGATACACATCGTCCCATTAGATATACACGCGCTGTCACACTTCTGAAAAGTAATAGTAGTGAAATATTTAACATGTAGATTATTGCAACTGATAATATTTCTCATTGTGGCAGTTCAAAGTGAAGAAAGGTTTGACATTTTGACAGATAAACAGTTTTAAAAGTCATCTTACAATTTTGTGTATTATTCATTCTCTCCGTACTTGGTGGTGGTAAACAACTACTGAAGCCACACCAGCCCTGGGGTAGACTGATGAATGCAAGGCTGGGTGAGGTGTCTTGTCTATGCACATCCAAGTATGTACTAGTCCAAGCAGGAATCCAACTGCCACCCTATGAGTAGGTGGACACGCATTCTAGCCTCTAACTTAACCACATTCAATCTAATGTAAATTAGAAAAAAAAAAAAAACTTGCTGAAATCTAGGTAATGTTAAGATGAACATGAGTGGCTCCAAAATGTGTACTTGTAGTAAAATTACTGTTACTACAATATACTTCATAAAAAAATATTCATAAAGTAGCATTGTCCTTGTCCGTGGCCACTCGAGCTGGGTGTCCTTGTGGTTACCTCACTGTTGTTTTCGTTCATTAATTTTTTATGCCCGTATATTTTTGTCCCAGGCAACCTTTGTTACCTTCACCATATTTCAGCTGCATTGTAATAAGCATGGGGTTTGTTTCTGGGTTTTAGATTGCATTCTGAGACACACTGACATAGGCTCAAGGACAAGTCTCAAACATTTGGGAAAAATCTCATACCATGATTAATATGTATTTAGGAATATAATAATATATTGTGGATCTGTAAAAGACTGATTCAAATTGCCTGGGGGGAAAAAAAAACAAACAAAAAACTTACACATTTTTCCAAGTTTTATTTTCTGATAATCATTTGTATTAAAGAACAAATATTCTGCATCATTTGTATTGGTATATGGCTTCAAACATGCCCCTGTGTACCTTAACTTTGACCTTTCATGTTTTACAACTTAAAATAACACAGCTCCAGTGTACAGCTCATATTTTTGATGAGAGAACAATGTTATAATATAAGACGGTTAAAGGTTAACAAAAAGTCAATATTGCATATGTTGTTGTATTTATTTTTATGCAGGTATTCATTTTAATATCCCAATGACTCCATAATTGTCATTTCTATTTATATTTTTATAATAATTTGACTTTGTTAATTGGAAGCAAATTATGTAAGAACTGACTGATGAAAAAGTGTATGAACAGTGTTGAATAGCGACTTGAGTGCATCATTACGTTCTAATTAAGACATTTCATTTATTTTGTATTTGTATCACATGAATCATTCCCTGCAAAGATCAGCCCATTACTCAGCCTGTGCCTGGCTGACAGAGCATCAAGATAATGGGGCGCTCTGTATCTTATGTCCCCTGCTGTGGAGAGCCCCCTGCTGAGCTGGGGGTCACTCATCTCTCACTTGGGTGTTCAAATCTTGGCCCAAAATCGTGCAGTTTTTCAAACTCCACCTGGGTTTGATTTATTTTTTGTTGATTATCACAATGCTGTTTGGCTTTGCTATTTACTTTGTGGAGAGCTGAGTCACTGAAGTTTTACAAAAGAGCGTAAAAAAGTCCAATGCAAACACGGGACATTTCATCAAAGCAGTGTTCATGTGGGCGGCTGCCCTGTGAGTGCAACAAGACGACAGGTGGCAGGAACACAATGAGCAATGGCTTGTGTAACAGTTAACACTGAAATATTTGGGACCACGCACTGCTTTTGAACTTTTCTTTGTGCAATAAGATGACACAAAATTGTATAAGAGGCTATAAACTTTTAAAAAAGATTTGGAGACTGTAACACATTTAAGTACAAGACCACAAAACTGTTTAAATATCATCTGGATAGTAGATTTGTTTTGCTTTTTGAACACATGATAAACACGCTGTAAACATGCAGGATTGTAACCATGAGCAAATTTCCATCTGTTGCTGAACATTTGCTCTCACAAATGTACTCATTCATACGCATAGACTGTAGGCAAGGTGGGTGAAGTGTCTTGCTCAAGGATATGACAAAATGCACTGGTCTGAAACACAACCTCTACTGACCTATAGCATCACGTAGGATTCCAAGTGATCCCCCATCCAGTACTAACCATAGGGCACACTTAAGGTGGCATGGCCATGTATTTGTTGAGGGGATATGCTTGAATGCATAAAGGCCACATAGCGACGGCAACAAGGAGCCTATCCTGGACCTTCTTGAGATGAGGTGAGTGCCATTCATTCAGCCACCAGGCTGCCACTTATGCCCAAAATTATACAGTTTTATGAAAAAGAAGAAATAGCTGAAATTAAGATGGCCACGGACATTCATTTTTAAAATCTCCAAAACATCTAAACTTTCTGTGAAATGTTTTTTTGGGTTGTAATTATTCAACATGTCCACAGCATTTTATAGACAGCATAATTTTGCAGATGTAAAAGTTGAGAAACAGATTTGAATAGAAAAATACAACACACTATAAGGAACTAACTTGGGAAGAAGTTGGCATGGTATGTAGAACTGTTGCCAACAAGCCCATCCAGCTGGTGGATGCATGCTGTTAACATATCTCTATTTGACTTCCAAACAATCTTGGAACAATTTAAAAGGAGCAGAGGGAGAGGGAGAGCTCTGTGAATAATAGATGGATTTGGGAGGCGCTGCTCTTTCTTCCTCTGATACGTAAACTAATGTACACTCACAAACAGGCCAATCTGGACCCACTCCGCACAAGGTTATATGCAAAGAGCCAAACTTACACATTTGCAATAAGGATACAAAGCACTAAACTTCTCTGCGTTATGAATTTAAATGAACGTGTACACAGTCAAACAGAATCAAATTAAAATTCAGAGATGTAGCAGTAATTTAAACAGATATTAGCACCTTAGGCGGCAGAACTCACACTGCTAAAATCAACAGCTAAAAAGGAAAGAAATGCTAATTTTCAGGGGAAAGGCTATTCTCTCATCGTGTGGAGAGGCACAGTGCCACATTTCCATAAACATAAATATGAAGAATGCACATGAACCACAGAGCACTGGGAGGACTCACATGTGTGTGCACATGCACCATACAGGGCGGTAAACAAACACAGCACATGTAAGTAAGCAGAAAAATCCTTACCCACAATCCCCTGTGGCGTTTTTTTCCCACCAAGGGACCAGGCCTTAAACAAGATGTTACAATTAGAGCCAGAAGTCAAAATGAAATGCTTTAAAATGCAATCTAAACAACAAGCACAAGCCAGTGCTGGGCCAGACTCATCACTAATGTTGGCCTAAATGAGTCCATCAAAGCCACGGGCCGGGACCAGGGCCAAGCTCTTCTCTCTCTGCTGCCGCTGCTGCTGCTGCTGCTGAGCATACAAACAGGAGCTGTGTTCACACCATGTGACCACATCCAAACATACATCCCTGTGCTGTTCATGCCCTGGCCACAAGGGGTCACATGTACTCTATATGCCAGTCCCAAGTCTGGACAAAAGGAAAATGAAGCATCAGGAAGGACATCTGGTGTAATAGTTCCCTTTGTGAACGTTAGGGATTTAATGATGCAAAGCCAAAAGCCAAAGGTCTGGTTTAATGACAAGCATGTAATATGCAGAGATTTAAGGCTAATAGCGGATTCTTGTAAAAGTACTGAGCTTTATTATCAAACATGAAAAGAAAAAAAAAAAACATTCTTCATTTTAAGCTTACCTTTTAACTATAAGCCTTAAGCGGAAGAAATACAAAATAATATGTTTACTACAGGAGCATTTTCGAGTCGCCCTCCACCAGCATCTAAAATCTAAAAGCTTCTTGCCAAGGGGTAACCGCCCTGCTCTTGTGCCCCTTTAAATCTCTGCTTACCTCCATAGTGACTGTTCCAATAACATGCCTAAGTCCGTCTCTCCCAAAGCCCACTGCTGACTCACATCTCCATAATGTGTCCGCCCTTCCGTCTAGAACCAGTACCCACGTCGCACAGCCAGTCCCCCTCCCAGACCCTCACTAAGAAGTCTTTTATAATTAGCAGAGCATCACCCGTTAGCTACAGCTGCACCCACCCCCTCAACTCCTCTATTTATGCCTGTGCCTGCCACGTCACACTTATAAACTTGTGTAAGACTGGAGTTCGCTTGAAGGCCACAGAGACAAGGAGAAGGTTCACAGTGTAGTGATGAAGGAAAAATAGAGGGGCACAGGTCTACAAACTTTCAGGTGATATGGGATTGTCTGCCTTCTATTGGAAATGTCCTGATTTCAAGAACAAGTCCAGATGACCAGCTTTGCAACCTTTTCTACCAATTACAAAATTACAAACTATACTTATCTGGAATACAATACAAGTTGTATTGTTGGTTAGTATCACAATATTAGCAACAATATACTATACACTCAGGACTCAGGAGTACTTCTTTATTTGGATTTGGATCATAACTGAGTAAACTTCCAGCCATGCCAATTTAAATCTGTGATCATCCAGTATATTTTTTACCACTAAACCAATAAGGCCAAGATGAGGAGGTGGCCGTCTGAACAGACACACCCAAATATTCCATATCCACACAGTCTGTTTATCAGGAGACATCAAGACATTCTAGTCCTTCCAACAAGTCAGTGGGGACATGCCCTTTACCATGAACGCACAAGATCATGGGTATGGACACTGACCTGTAAATGTAAAACTTAACACAAGAAATATGATAAAGAGGTTTGCCTCATCTTAGTCATGCTAGTCATTAAGTATTTTGCCACTAAAGTGCACACTGCAGTACTCGTTCCACCTCTGTTGTTCGGGGAGGTGACTTGGCAGCTGCTATGGAGAATGTTACAAAGAGGTCATTCTGAATGTAGACCAGGGCGGTAGCATAACAGCTAGACTCTGTC